GGGCAGGCAGCCATCCGGCGGGGCTCCACAGTGGGCTGTGGGAGTGGGGGCAGCAGCCTGGGCGGAAGCGGGGTCTTATCTAACCACACTGCAGCCAGGGCCCTGAGCACGGTGCCCCTCTGCGCCTGTGTGGCTTGGACGCACTGGGCATCACCCTTGTATATACAGGTTGTCTCCTGGGCCCTTAGCTTTTTAGGATGAGGTCTGAGAAGGGGAGGTGTTGACTCAAAGGGTTTGCATGTTTTAAATGTTAGTCTGTGACGCCAAGGGCCTGCAGAAATGTGCCCTGGACCCTGCGATGCGCACTGTACTTGGCCTGGCTGTGCTCACTGGGCATCCCCCTCCCCCGGCCCAGAGCCTCAGCCGGGCTCCAGCTCCCGCCCCACCCTTTCTCTACCACAGCCCAGGTCCCGGGCAGGAGGGGAGCAGGCACCTGCCAGGCCCACCACACCATCTTGTCCCCACGTAGGCCCCACCGATCCTCCCTGAGGAGTCCCAGAGGGTCCTAGATGTGACTTCCTGATGCCGCTGGCCGGAGGCCAGCACAGGAGGGTGCTGAGCACCATGACAGGGAAGAAGGGCTCAGTGTGGCCGCTGACTTAGCCACAGTCTCCCAGGACTCAAACCCAGGCCCGGCAGACTGTCCTCACCAGGGAGCCAGGAGCTTGGGCCGCCAGGTCACATCTACTTCCTCCCCTCCTCCTCTCCGGGCTCATCCCTGTCGCCGCCTCCCTCCCTCTGCCTTGGACCCTGATCCAAGTCTGACACCCACACTCTCACTACAGGGAGGCCCCACCTAGATCCACTGAGCCAGGGAGCAGGCAGAGGGTTAGAGGGAGCCGGTGGGAGGCAGGTCCTGTTTCCAGTCCATGTCCACCCAGCTCCCCCGAGTCTCCTCTCCCACTCACCAGACACGAGGGTCGGCCACTCCGCCTGTGCTGAGAGCAGCCCAAGGCTCAGGGCAGCCGGGGGGCTCACACCAGGACGACCCCTGGGCCAGGAGCTGCACCGGTGGCACCAAGTCTCCCCCCGCTCAGCACCGCGGCTGGGGTTGACTGGAGCTGAGGCGCTGAAATGGTCCTGTTGCTGTGCATGCTTCCTGCGCATCCCTGGCACCAGCACCATGCTGGGCTCTCCTGCCCTCTGGAAGCTCACAGTCTACAGGGGAGGCGGGCAGCCCGGAGCGAAGCAGCCTTAATGGGAACATGTGCCCTGGAGGCCCCGAACACACGAACACACGGTGCCTGGAGACCACCTGCCAGCAATCACAGCCCCAGACGGGAAGCACCTGACACGTGGATCTAACTGAGTAAGTCGCAGTGTATTCGTTCAGTGGGACACCCCACAGCGCTGACAAACGTGCTCTGTAAAGGGCCAGACAGTAAATATTTTATGCTTTGTGGGCCAGATGGCCCCTGTCGCAGAGACTCCGCTCCACCAACATAGGGCGACAGCAGTCACAGATGATCTATGAATGACTACGCGGCTCTGTTCCAATAAAACTTTATTTATGGACACGGAAATGTGAATATAGTATAATTTTCACGTGTCATGAAATATTCTTCTTTTGATTTTTCCCCCCCAACCATTAAAAGAATCTAAAAACCATTCATAACTCGCGGGCCACAGAAAGCGGCCGTGGCTGGATCTGGAACGCAGGCCGAGGTTTTCCAACCTGCTCTTTAGCGCTGAAAACAAACTTCAGCCATGCGATCAGCTGGGTGTATCTTCAAACACCCTGAATGAAAGAAGCCGGCCGCAGAAGATAAACGGTACCGTTCTGATTATACATACAAAGGTCAGAAACAGGCCAGACCATTTGCCGGGAGAGGAGGGTTTGTGGGGGGCGGGGCGCAGCGGCTCCCAGACACTGCAAGGTTCTGTCTTGACCTGGGTGGTAGTCACACAGGACTCTGTCTTACAAGATGTATTGTACGCTTCTGTATGTGTATTATATTTCAAAATTTTAAAAGAGAACGCAGTGACAACAGGACCTATAGGAACGGCGTCTGAACCCCTACCTGACAGGCATCTGTGATCCACCCGAATCAGAGCCCAGAGGGAAGGTACCCCACTGCTCTGCTGAGAGCTGCCCCTCTCCAGTCAGACTGAACCTCGCGTTCCCTCCAGGCTCTGCCTTCTGGCCTCCCAGCCTTTATCCAAGCTGGGCCGGCCACCAGCCACCTGCTCTGCCCCTCCCTTCCCCCTCTGCCCGCTGTCCCCCTCCCCCTGCCCGGGCTCCAACGGAGAGGTGCTTCTCCTCTCCCGCCTCCAAAGCTCTTCACTGGGATCAGACAGAGATAAAAAGCAGAGGCCAATCCTGACAGAGGCCGGAGCAGGGAGAAGGAAGGTAGGAGGCTCCTGGGCATCTTTGGGACATCAAAGGGAGCGGGGACACCTGAGGCCGGAGCGAATGGGGGAGGAGAGCAAAGCCACATCGCAGAGTAACTCCCGCCTCTGGTCTGGGGCCATGTTCTCAAGGAGAATCTCAGCTTCCAACGGGCTGAGAGTGGGGACTGTGTCTTATTCACCTCTCGGTCCCCCCCTGTGCCTAGAACTGGTCCTTCTCAATGGATGTTTGAGACGTAAACACTTCCCAGGGTCCTAGAAAGGCCAGGAAGAGAAAGGGAACTGACATTTGTAGAGGCCATGGAGGCTCAGGAAGTTAGGTAACTTGCCTGAGCTCACACAGCAGTCAACAGAAGAAGGCAGGACTTGAACCTGGTCTGCCTGGCCCCAAAGCCCTTGGAGGTGACTGAGGCCTGGAGGAAGCAGGGCTGGAGCAGGTGGCCAGGCTCAGGCGCCTCACCTCTGGGAGAGCAGATGTCCATAAAACCCTCTGAGAAAATGGAGCGAGGGGTCCAGATGCCATCCCAGGATGTGCTAGACACGAATGGAAAGGTCCGAGTGACCCCAAGGAGCAAGCTGACAGATATCACGCCTGTCAACTAAATCTCGAGTTTCGACGGGCTCTTCTAGGCTAGCAGGCACCGAGTCTCTGAGCCCTAACCACGTGCCCCAACCGCTCAGTCTCAGGACGCGCTAGTGGGCAGGCACGACTCTCACACCCATTCAGCAGATGAGGCAGCTGCGGCACAGTGGCATTAAGAACCTGCCTGGCTCCGGAGTGAGTTGCAGAAGTGATTCAAGCTCAAGCAGATCACCCCTGGCCTGCTCTCAACCCTGCATCACATGGCAGTTTAGGGAAATGGTGCACTGATCCCGGGCTTCAGTGACCACACCCTCCGAGGTCTCCCCGGGACACAGGCGAGGGGTGCGAGCTGGGCTTTGGTGCTGGTGGTTGATGGAGCTGGTTGCACAAGGCTGATGGCCGAAGTCAGGGGAGGTTTAGGGGGTGTGGGAGTGGCAGGTCCTTCATCAAACCCCCAGAGCCCAGAGACAAGGGGGAGGGGGACATGGAGCAACAGACAGAACTACAGCGGCGGGACTAGGAATAAAGGGGTGCTGTCTGCTGCTCCCAGAGGTAGGAGACCACAGGGTGATTTCACCTCTTGTGAAAGAGCAGTTTCTCTTTACTGTAACATGTGCTGCAATACAGGGAACTCTGTTGTTTGCTGGCAGCTAAGATGGTTACAAAACGCAAAGCCTGCTCCGCTGCTTCCAGCCTGCACCCCGGTCCCTTCTGGGGAAGAGGGACCACCCAGAGAGGAGCGATGGCAAGTGGGGGAAACTAGGTTAGAAATGACTAAGTGTGAATTCAAACGCGTCATCCCCAACTAGCTGCCTTTCCTCAGGTCATCTTTGCTCTGTCTGGCCGGTGCAGGTGACCAGATTCAAGGAGAGATGTCACCAGGGGCCTGGGCCTCGAGGCCTGCAGTAGGTACCACCCATTCAACTCTTGCCTTCCCGAGCAGGGGGTGTGGGAGTGGGTAGAGATGTTTCCTTGAAGAATCTTCTTTACAAAGAAAGGCGAGAGGAACCCCAGAGCCCACTGCCAGGGTCCCAGCTCGGGGCTCAGGCTGACCCGGGTCTGAACCTGACCTCAACCCACCTGCTAAGCCTGGGGCAAGCCACCCGGCCTCCCTGAGTCTCCCTTCCCTACATGGTACCAGTAGGAACAGCACTCCAAGGGTGTCTCGAGGGGCCCTGGGTGTCAGTGTGTGAGGAGCTCAAAGAGGCTGATTCATGATAGTAACTGCTATTATTGTTCATGCTATCAACACAAGGCAGAGGACGAAGCGGAGGGCAGCCCCGAGGCCTCGTTGAGTCTGAGCATAGAGGGAGATCCGCACCTACTCTGGGGTGCTGGGTCAGCGCTGCCCAGCAGGAGGGACCCCCGTGTGGGCGGCCCGGCGAGGCACCCTGCTGGGGGTTCCCTGGCCTGGATGAACTCATCCCAAGGCCACCCACCCCAGGTCCTGGCTTGAATCCAGGCCACCCAGCTTCCAAGGGGCCTGGGGCCAGGAAGGGTGCCCAGAGCTGGCCCCCAGAGAGGCCCAGCTCCCGCTGTAAAGTTATGAGGTGACCTCTGTTCTGTTTCAGGAAGGGGTCGTGCCATCCTCTCGGGTGACAGTGACAGTTTTGTGCTCCAGGTTGCAGCGCTCTGGCGACCAGCTTTGGCCTCCCCCCGCTCCCTGGCTAACACGGGCAACAGTACCGAGGGTGCCTCTCCCACTTGGCAGGTTCGATGCTCTGCTTCCACCTGAGATTCCTTGGGGGTGAGCTGTCCCTCCCCACTGACGCCTGCACCCAACCCCAATGCCCCCTGGTCGAAGCAGTGCCCCCCCCCCACCTTGTTTGAGGGCCAGGAGGTCAAGCTGTGCTGGGAGGCAGGCTGTTAACACGGCATTGATGGGGGAGCACCGCCCCCACCCCTTCAAAAGCCACCTTGGCGAAGCATGAGCTAAACATCTCCTGGTCCCTGAAGGCTTCCCCTGTGAAGTCTGCAATGTTCAAACGCAGCCAGCAAATCCCCTGAGACGGGAATTAGCTGCTCTGATGTGCAGAGCCAGCGAGCACGGAGCAGGCAGACAGCATACCTGTGAGCTGCAGGGTCCCAGGGGACAGGAGCAAGCCCAGGAGCCAGGAGGCTGTGACGGGGCCCGGCGGGGCCCACCGCAGCGGAGCCCAGCTCTCCATCGGGGCCTCCTGGTCAGCGTCTCTCCTTCCTCTTCAGTTCCCAAGAGAGGACAGCCTGCTGGTGGCTACAGTTCCCCTTCGTGTCTCCACCAGGCTCCTCCCTGGCCACCCATCTGCTTCCTCAAGGCCCCACTGGGTCTGCTCCTCTCCATGAACCCAGACTTCCTGCGCACGTAGTGTGACGGGCCGCGGCCCCAGGTGAGGCTCTGGGGCTCTCTCCCCTGCTGCACAGCTGCCAGGGCTCGGGCTCCCCATCTACCATGCGGGTGGGCTCCCCGCCCTGACCCTTTCCAGCTGGAGGCTGGTCCAGGAGCCACTGGAGACTAAGGGGACAGATTTCCACGAGTCACTGCAGGACTTGGCTTAGCTATTGACTCCTGAAACTTTAAAAATGCCCGTGTTCACCCTGGCCAGTTTGGCTCAGCGGTTAGAGCATCGGCCCACGAACTGGAGAGACCCGGTTTCGGTTCCTGCTAAGGGCACGTACCTCGGTGGCAGTTTGTCCCGGGCCTGGTTGGGGTTGTGTGGGTGGCAGCCACTCCGTGTGTCTCTCTCACATCGATGTTTCTCTCTCTCTTCTTCCATCTCTCCCTCCTGCTCTATCTGAAGATACATGCAGAAATGTCCTCAGGTGAGGATAAAAAAAAAAAACGCCCAGCCCTGGCCGGTTTGGCTCAGCGGTTAGAGCGTCGGCCTGCGGTCCCGAGAGACCCGGGTTTGGTTCCCACTAAGGGCACGTGCCTCGGTTGCAGTTTGTCCCCGGCCCTGGTTGGGTTGTGTGGGTGGCAGCCACTTGATGTGTCCCTTTGGCGTGGATGTTTCTCTCTCTCTCTCTCTCTCTCTCTCGCCCTCCCTCCCTCCCACTCTATCTGAATAAAATATCAAAAAATGTCCTCGGGTGAGGATAAAAAAAAAAAAATGCCTGTGTTCACGCAAACTTCCCTGGGGTTGTCCAGGAGCCCCTCATAATATGCTCATAGAAGAGCAGGGTCTATGTGGGGGTGCCCGTGAGTGGAAGGATCCAGGAAGGGGCAGGTGCGAGGTGGGGGAGAGGCAGGCAGTGGGGTGGGGGGCAGGAGCCACACGTTCCCAGCCCCACACAGTGCCACGGAGGGTCACTAACCCAGCAAGGGCCATGCTGGGTCCCCACAGAAGCCCAGCGATGCCTCCTCTTCAGTCCACCTCAAACGTCTTTCCTCCCTGCAGCTTCCCTAACCCTGCGCACACCCCTCCCCCAGCAGGAGACACACGAATTGCTTCCACATCTGGCCCCACACGACGGCCCTGTCCTCTGTCCAGCAGGCACAGACACAGGGACAGAGACAGTAATCATTTGCAGACCGGAGCCTTTCGCCCTTGGCATTCTGGAGCCCAGCACCAGGCGGAGCTGGACTGGGGGGGTCAGGTGTCTGCCTACCCCTGGGCGTCTGGAGTGGCAGAGGGAAGGGGCCGGGTGGTGGTGAGGAACCCAGCCCACAGGCGCTCAGAGGAAGCAGGGCCAAGGAGGTGGAGTTTCAGCACACGCTGGGCACTCCACCTCCTTTCTCCATCAGCTGTGATAAATGTTATAATCCCAACAGTACAAAGGAGAAATTATGCCCCCAAGAGGCAAAGCCATTTGCCCAAGATCAGGGCAGGTGCGTGGGGCCGGCATTTCACGCCCCGCCGGAGCCTTCCCCCGCCTCCCGCTGCAGCCCCCCGTGGAGGCAGGATGGGGTCCAGTTTCCGTCCTTTGGTCAAGCTGCTCCCCTCCCCCAGCCGCTCTGCACACGTATGAGGAAAGCCAGAGACGTTCCCCACCAACGCCAGGAGGAAGGGGAGCTGGGAGGAAGGCAGGCGGGAGCTGGGACCGCCCCCCAGGTGAGGAAGACATATGAACGCCAGAACGCTCCTGCCGGCTGGGGGCCAGAGGGGAACCCAGTGGTATTGACTGTTGATCCATCACGATGATACATGATCGCACATGTCACAGTGAGACACAGATAATCTGCTTCACGCTGTTTCTGAGCTCCTGGGGGGAGCAGGTTGTCTAAGCACCTCGATGCCATGGTGATAGACGTCATGTTAATGCCTCTGTGCATGGCGGGAGCATTTTAAAGGCATCGGTCTGTGCCTCTAGGAGTCTCTTTATGACTTGGCATCAGGAGGCAGCCAAGTGCCAGGCTGCCTTGGAACACCAACAGGGAGGCCAGCTCCGCTCCTCCTCACCCCTACACACTGTCCTCAGCCCCCTTCCACTGCAGCCATGCTCCAGTCTGCAACCCAGGATCCTCGGGGCTTTGCCGCCTCTGGGCCTGGGTCCCACCTATGGCCCCTTGCCTGCCTGACGCCTCCTGTTTGTGTCCTTCACCTCCGCCTGGCAATAGCACTTGCTCAATAAACACTGGTGCATGAATGGATGGGTGAATGGGCCTAAGGGGGATCAAGTGCCTTCCTCCCAGGCTTGCTGTGAAGGTGGCTGCCTAACATCAAGCCTGACACAGAGCAGACTCCCAACTGGCTTTAGTGGGAGGGCAGGACCCTGGGTTGTAGAGCATAGATGTGGCTGGAAACGAAGAGGAGGGGGTAGGAACTCAGGTCTCCGCTGAGTTTCTGAGCCAATGGGAGCCATGCAGCCTCCCTGGGAGAGGCAGGGGTGGACCCTGGGCAGGAGCCAGGGGGCCCAGGCTGTGCTATCAGGGCCTCGGTAACCAGGGTGACAGGACCCACAACACATTCGGAGACCTTGTTGTCATCAACCCTTTCCATCTCCTCTCACCCAAGCAGGTGCTGAACAGTGAATTTACGGGACCTGGATCCATGGGCGGTTCCTCCCCACACCCTCCTCCTCTGTGGGAGCTGCAAATGAGCAGGTGGAAGGAGGGGCTGCTGTGTAGGGGAAGGGCGCCCCGCCCCCACCCCGCCTCCACAGTGGGGTCTGCAGGACAGGTCCCTGGGGAACAGCGCATTTCAGCACTTGCTTTCGTCCAGTCATCTGTCTGCCTGCCCTTCCATCCGTCTGTCCCTTCACATTTTGCTGAGCACCTACTTGCACCCAGCACTGGCCTCAGCCGAGGAGGAAGGAGTGACAGACCCCAGCTTCAAGGAGCCCGCATCCAGGGCAGGAGCAGTAACCCTGCACAACTGAGCAACGACACTCAGAGCAGCTCCCAACACCAGGCATTTTTCCCATTTATCTTCAGATAGAGTGGGAGGGGGAGAGAGAGAAAGAGAGAGAGGAAGAGAGAAACATCGACGTGAGAGGGACACATTGACTGGTTGCCTCCCACATGACCGGACCAGGGCTGTGGACCAACCACAACTGAGCTACGTCCCCTTGACTGGAATTGAACCCATGACTCATTGGTCCTCGGTCAGATGCTCTAACTGCAAAATCAGCCAGGGCACACCAGATACTTTCAAACAACAAATCAATCAACCCTCCAGGCAATCCCCTGAAGTGGGTACAATAATCACTTCCATCTCACAGATGAGGACACTGAGGCACAGAGAGATTGCAGTAAAACTCGCCCAAGGTCACGGCTAAGACATGTGTCCAGGGGACACGTCTGTGCTCCCAGGCACTGCTCCAGCCCGTCTCGATGGCAGAAGTGTAGGCAGAGCAAAGAGGAGGGCTTCATGGAGGAGGTGGCAGCCCTGAAGGAGGAGGAAACGGGGGAGCACAGACATCGCTGTGGTCCTGAGGGGCCTTGGCCACTTGAAGACTGGAGCTTCCCCCACTGGACCCATCGCCGGCCTGTCTCCGCTTTAGTTCCCACATACACGTATTAAGTGGCTACTGTGTGCCCGGCAGTGGAAGTCCAGACACAGCCGTAGTTCTGCCCTCGAGGTGCCCCTGCCTAGAAAGGAAAGCAGACGCCCCCACAGGATTTTCACCTGCCCGGGCGAGAGCAAGTGAGCCAGCGTGAGGCCCCCAGGCTGCGGTTGGTCCCGGCTCAGGAGCAGTCTTCCCTGCGTTTCCTCCCAGCCTGCTCTGTGGGCAGCGGCCACACAGGAAGCAGAAGTGCTGGGAAGGGGGCCACTCTGCGCCTTCCTCCGGCCGTGGGAAGTCACTTCCTTCCTCCTCAGAGACTTCAGCGCCAACAGGAGCCCACCAGGAGGAGGGCCCCCTCACAATGACCCTGGTGCCTGAGATCCACAGCGTCTCACTCTCCCCGTCCTTGGGTCCCCACTGTCCAAGGCTCCAGGTGGATTGGTCCTCCATCCTCTCGCAGCCCCCCTGCACTGGAGAGTCCCAGAGTGGAGGGCAGTCTCCCTCCCCTCCTAGTAACACCCAGGTTGGCCTTCGGGGTCCCCCTTTTTGTACCATGTAGCAATGGGCACTTGAGTGGCACTGACCCCACTGCACTTGGGGAGGGGACCTGACCACTAGGTCCAGGGGCATGATTCAGCCCCTGAGAACAGAGTGCCTCAGTTGAAAGAGACCCATCCAATCATGAGATGGCCTGGCCCACAGTGGACCAGCCTCCTTTCTCACAGGGGAGTGAGCTCTCTGTCACTGGAGGTATGTAAACCCATGTGGAGGCCATCCACCCTGCATGCTGCTGGAAGATTCCTGCCCGAGCTGGGGGGCTGACCTGGACCATCTCCAAAGTCCCTTCTCAGCCAAACTGCCCTGTATTGCTGCTGCCTGTTTGTTAAGTCTTTGTTTCACGCCTGACACAGTTCTAAAGGTTTTTCATGTATTGATCACTCCAGTCCTCAGAGAAACCTCAAGGGGTAGGGGTTACTGCCTCTATTTTAGAGATGAGGAAGCGGAAGTTCAGAGAGCGTAAGCCACCTGCCCAAGGCCACACAGTGAGTAAGCAATGGAGCAAGGACCCAAGCTCCCGTGACTGTGCTTTGAATCACTATGTTCTACAGTTCACTGATTCTGCCAGCAGGCCTGGTATTATAACCCTCACCTACAGATTTAGTGACGGAGAAAAATAAAGTGGCCTGCTGGGGGTCTTGGTGGGGACCAGAGTTCAGGGTTTTCCTGTTGGCCGTATCCCCACAGTTAGATAAGACTTTCCTCGCTAACTGGGTTGGGGAGAGGCAGTAGGGACCTAGTGCCTCGTCCCCAGCGCTTGCCACACTGCAGATAAGCCTGCCGATCTGAAAACACAAAGGTGGCGTCACTTTGCAACATCGATCCCGTGTTCAGTTTAGGCCCTTGGTACAACTGTGTCCCAAGAGACAAGCACCCACCAGGAGGTCAATCACTGGAGGTCCTTGGTGTCAGGGGCTAGAGTCTGGGAGGTCCTGTACTAATTAATGGTGCCACCCCCTTCCCTCCCCTCGTTGTCCTGTGTCAATGGCGCCACCTGGTGGCCAGTGGGATTACCCTCACCTGCAGTGTCTTCCTCTGCATGTCACTTCTTCACTCTCTAGGGGTCTTGGCTGCCCAGCAAGGCCAGGTCA